ATCTTTATCCATCCGCTAAGTTCTACGTCAAAAATTTTATAGGCATAAGCCGACACATGTTCCATTCGTGCCAAATTAAATATATATCTTGCGATGCTATTATATACTATTTTTATTTTATTTTGGCTAATCGAGTCACAATTTGAAAAAACTTCTACACCATAAAATAAACACGGGACTAAACATGTTTTTGCTACTAACATACGAACATTTATAGGCAGGCAACCCTTAGTCACAGACAATGCTCTCAGCATTCCAAATACTTTTCCTATTGCCTTTGCGATGTGATCGTTCCATGTAAGAGTCCTGTTGAATGTAAATCCAAGATTTACGGCTTTTTCGACATACTCTAATGGACTGTTATTAATGTGAAGAGGTTCGATATTGTCTAGCTTTATTTTTTTTTCTGCTTATTACGAGGCACTTAGATTTATTTGGGTTAATGCCTAGTCCATTTTTGATTGCCCATTCATTTACTCGAGCAAGTTCACGGATACATACATCAATACATTCACTTATTCTATTTAAAGGACGACTCACATACATTTGGACATCATCGGCATACAGATGCACATTACATTCTGACAACACAGATGGTAGGTCATTAGCATACAGTGTAAACAACAGTGGACCAAGTACTGAACCTTGGGGGACACCACGAGTGACATTTCCAAATTCCGACGATACATTAGATAGAACAACTGATTGACGACGATTATTTAAGTACGAAGACACAAGCTTAACAGAAGTTTTTGAAAAATGGAACATATTACGTAACTTTGAACATAGAATATTATGGTTTACAGTGTCAAAAGCCTTGCTATAGTCCAGTAAAACTAAAAATGTGACATTGTTATCGTCCATTTGTTTCCTTATGTCGTCAGTAATCTTTAATATAGCTGTAGTACAGCTTCGACCTTTCCTAAATCCTGACTGATTATTATTTAGCATTTCATTGTCAGTGAGAAATTTATTTATTTGTTTTGCCATTATATTTTCTAATATTTTAGAAAGGTACGGCAGGATCGATATAGGTCTGTAGTCAGTATTTGATTTTGGAATCGGAATAATCTTGGCCGTTTTCCAGCAGTCAGGAAAAGTCGAGGTTGTTAATGCTTTATTTAATATATGAGTTAAATAAGGCAGAATCCTAGGTAACAAAATTTTGATAAATTTCGGATTAATGTCGTCAAGTCCAGTCGCATCACTCTTAATGTCAAGTATAGTCTGTAGAATATCACATTGATTAACAGTCACAAACCTAAACCTATTATCACAGACGATTTCAGGTGCAAGTTGTAAGTATTGATTGTCAAGAACTTCAGGTACTGAGCATTTTATAAATTGTTTATTTAGTTCATTCACATCTATGTCCTGTTCCACCCTCCCTTTGGATTTTCCTATTCCCAAACTTTTTATTGTTTTCCATGTTTCTTGAGTAGAAGATGTTCTTTCAAATTTACGGGAATAGTAGCTGCTTTTAGCAATGTCAATGAGCTTAGTTACAGATTGTCTCAGCAAACTAAATTTCCTGTATTCATGTGATGTCCTATACCTCTTCCACTTTTTGAAAGCTTTGTCGCGTTCATTGATCGCATTCCGAATGCCATTATGAAACCATGGTTTCTCCGTTGCACGAATTATTTTTCTACGAACCGGAACGCAGCTGTTATACAAGTTAAGTATATTATCCTGAAAGTACTTTACTTGATCGTCAACTTCTGCGAGTAAATATAGGCCATCCCAATTACAGCAGTTAAAGGTTTCATTTAAATGTTCATAATTTATATTTCTAAAGTCCCTAAAGACTATGGTATTGTCATGATATAGAAGGTCAATTGCGTATGTCAGAAAGATGAGGTCATGTTTCGAAAAAGACGGGACGATTAGCTGGTCATATAAAGCTACTTTGTCAGTATTAGTCACAAAGAACACATCTAGTAATGAGCTGCGAGTGTTGCAAAAATGCGTAGGGGAAGTAGTGTTTACTACATTTAACCCTAGCGACTGCATATTATTTGTAAGATGTGATTCTCTTATTAAATCACTATTAAAGTCACCTGCAAGAATAACATCTGCATATTTTGTTGACAAATCAGCTAGGATACTTGTAATGTTGTCATAGTTGGTCCGACAATTAGGCCGATAGGCGCACCCAATCAGCATTTTTGCAGTGTGTTGTAACTTATATTTAATTTCTACAAATAAATATTCCACAGAACTACAAGCAGGATGTTTACATACAAATTTGGACTTCAATTTTTTGTTCACATACATTGCAACCCCTCCACCATGACTTTCACGATCAGAACGATACAAGTTAAAGCCGTCACATTCAACTAAGACATCACAAATATTCGGGACAAACCATGTTTCAGATATACATATAACATCTATTTCTGAGTCGATAAAGAGATACCTAAATTCTTCAATTTTTTTAGTCAGGCTTTGAGCATTTATATGACAGATTTTTAGACCAGATCTCTGCTTTCCAAGAATGCGCAGTAACGCGCGGCTATTTTGACTATTTTGATTTATGTTGTCTTCCATGTTATATTAATAAATTTTAAAATTATTAGCATTTTATCAAGAATTATTCAAAATTTAAAGACTCCCACAATAAATATAAGCTTCCTATTACAGCGACTGTTTTTAAATATTACTAAACTTTTTAAATAAAAAATGCATTTTAAACTACGTTTAGGCGCGAAAAGAACTATTTTGTAAAGCTCCAACACTTGAAACTTCTAAAGTAAGGGACTCATTACCGAGCCCCATCTCCAACTCCAGATGATCCAGATCGCCAAAGCTCTGCAAGCACCTAGCCTCTGCACCTACTCGTTCCTTCACGAATATCTCCCCTCGCCGAGTGAAAACAGCTGATAAGCACTTTATCCGTTTGAGATGCATTGCTCGTTTGAATATTTCATATTTCGGTTTCGTCAGCTGCTCGTTTATGTAGATAAACGCTGGCGAGTCTAGGCCTATAAGCTTTAAGCTTAGTTGCGTTTTATTATTTCGCCGGAATGCAGCCACTGCACGTAAGAGCATCGCTTTATCGCTCACGTGGTCCAACTTTATAATTATGATCGGATCAACTATAGAATGTGCGGGTTGTTTTGGTCGCACGCGAAAAATATTTCGTATTTTGGGCGGAGGAGTTAGCTCAAGTGAGAAGCAGAGTGCGTGGAAAAGTGCCCTCAGGTTCTCCCCATCCGTTTGTGGGACTCCATGCCAGCGCAAGTCGCATGCGATTTCTGCCTCTGCCTGCGCATTACAAGTTGCCACTAGCCTGGCCTCGAGCGCCTCGACGCGTTTATCGCTTTGGGTATCCGCTAGCTTCTTCTCCAGCTCCGAGACCCGCTGCTTCAACGCGCCCATCTCTCTCACCTCGTTCTCCAGTTTGGCCACCAGCTGGCATAGCTGGTCGTATTTCTCGGTCATCGGTTGAAGCTTCTTCTCCAGGAAGCCAGTCAGACTCTCCTTTAGGTCTGCGAATTTCAGGTCGAATTTCTGCAGCAACTGGGCATCTGAGGGCCGGGATCCGTCCTGGTCGAGCTGAGTCTCCTTCCTGGATCGCTTTGCCATCGAACTCATCGTGTTGTTGTTTTGAGTGTTTTGTGCGCGCGCTTTGTGTTTTATGTTTTGTGTATGTGTTTATGTGTAGGCGAGTGCACAAGCGGTTTGCTTCGGTTCGATGTAAATGTTCTATGTTCGATTCGCACGACAATAACAAAATGCACAGCGTTTAACAAGCTTTTTAGTTGTTAAAAAACAATGTAAATAGTGCAAATTATTGTTTACTTCGATATAATCGCTGCAGAACTATGTTTGTTTTGCAGGAAAAAAGCAAAGTTATGAGATTTTGACGATTATTTCGATTTATAAAATGGATTTAATGCGGAGTAAAAGTAAACACGTCCGTGTTCCAAGATGGTTCTATTTTCTGATTGGCGTATTAAAATAAATGAACAAAAGTGTAAGCACATAACGTTCACTCTCAACAGACAAACATGCCCTCCGCTCTACCTGAACAGCACGCAGATCCCCGAAGTCAACGTGGTAACATACCTGGGCGTCCACCTGGACAGACGCCTAACATGGCGAAGACACATTGAATGCAAGAAAATTCATCTAAAACTAAAAGCCAGCAGCCTCCACTGGCTCATAAACTCCCGATCGCCCCTGTGTCTGGACTACAAGGTCCTGCTCTACATCTCCACACTGAAGGCAATATGGACGTACGGCTCCCAGCTCTGGGGGAACGCGTGCAGTACCAATCTAGACATCATACAGCGCGCCCAATCAAAAATCCTGAGAACTATCACTGGGGCACCATGGTATATTCGCAACGAACACATCCACAGGGATCTCGGCATTCCTGCAGTTAAGAACGAAATAGAAAAACAAAAAGCATCCTACAAGGAAAAACTCTCCACACATCCAAATCCTTTAGCAAGGGACTTGATACGAGTTTCCAGAAGAAGCCGCCTACTACGTAACGACCATCCAACCCAGCCATAATTAGTCAGGGCCATTTACTCTGTACCAGTCTCATGACTGCTAGTTAGGTAGTATTGTAAGATTTGATACACTTATTGTTAGTCTCATAAATGAGAAGATTCAATAAATAAAAGCAAAGCCTAAAAAAAAAAAAAAAAAAAGACAGTTGTCCTGACCAGACAACTGCAAGGTGTCGCTTTTTGAGACTCTACTCATACCAACTGGTGCCATTCACCCCCGAGCATCAATGTAAAAGACAAACACAAAACCGTCTGTGTGTTGCAAGTACTCTTTGTGCTGAGCACCGATCACACTCGCACCTTAAATCGAGGTCCTGCCTACTAGCCGTGTCTTTGTGAAGCTCGCGCCACAGGTCGCAGGCAGCGACGATGTTAGGGCACAAGAAATTCACGAAGACACCACGATGAGAGTGGGGCATCGCTACCAGACAGGATTACTCTGGAAGGATGACCGCATTGTGCTGCCAGAGTTATAAGATGGCGTACAAGCAGCAGGGCGTTGGAAAATAGTCAGATTATTAAGAATAACGTGTCTAAATGGTTTTATTAAGTGAAATCAATAACAACCATTGTTTTGGAGCTCACTTCCTTTATTATAAAGGGCTACCGAAATAACTTTCAGACAGATGTAATTTATTCTGATTTCAGTAAAGCATTTGACTTTGTTAACCATTCTCTTCTTGTTCGGAAACTCGATTTAATGGGATTTCCGATTGATCTTATTAATTGGACGGACTCAAAGACGGTGCTGAGATGAATCGGCAGCACCCACCGCTGGTATTAGCAGTTAGTTGGCAACCCAGTGGCGGAGATATTGGAGTCGTCGAAGGTGTTTCAGTGGCGATGGGTACCTACTGCTGACAATGCGGCGGATGATGCGACTCGGTCGCAGAGCCAGGAGTCACTTTGGCAAAGCGGGTCCTGCATTTTTAAGACACTCTACAATCGGCTGGCCCTCACGTGAAGATGGAACTAAGTGTGTTCTTTATGCCTCTGATGAGTTTGCCTTGGTTACGGCAAACAATTCTGTAATATCATCATTCATGTATATAGTATATAACATATTCCTCCTTCCAAGTTAACTGACGTATTTTTTTCTTGTGTTCTTTGTTTTGTCTGCTGCATTCATTAGCTGTTGGTTGTGCGACAACATCGTAGACGCCAAGTGCATTGGTGTCGCTGCCCGGACAATCGATGACGTGGCCAAAAACATCGGCTTACGTTATTGCCGTGAGGCCTGCCGCGAGATGGAAAGAGAGATGATGTCGTTCATGCGGCAAACCAAGAGCGATCTTAAAGAGCTGTTTTCGTAAAACTCAAGATATGCTCGTCGCTGGAAACAAAGTTAAATAGCCTTAAGTTATAAAATCAGTCTCTTAGACGCAAAAAATTAATTAAATTTTCTCATCCTATGAGCATTTCATCTTTTAAAGTAAATTTTCCTGACGAATTCTTTGACAAACCATACTCTGCCCAAATCTGCTCAATGAACGTGATTGTCAAGAAGTTCGAAGCAAAGAAAAATATTAAGTGGTCAGTACGAATTACCTTCCTAGGCCCGATCTGACATTTACGTCTTTCAATTCCGTCCCAAAAAACTAACCGATTCCCTTGATATCTCCTATCAGAATACAAGAGGTTTACGTAGTAAGCTTCCTAAATTGTATTCTTACAGGGTCTCAGTTCCCCAGTTATTGTGTTCACGAAAACTTGGTTAAAGCTGGAGTTTCTGAGCTCCGAAGTTTTTTCGGCGTGTTCACAGTATACCGGCAAGATCAGACGTGGAGGAGGTGTCCTTATAGCGGTCGACTCCACTCTCGCGTCCGAATTAATAGCAGTTTAACTACGTTAAATTCCTTTGCGTGAAGCAATCGGTCAATGGTAGTTCGATTTTTCTTACATGTTCCCACATTCTGCTTGGTTTCAATAAACGGTGGTCGAAGGAATTCAATATCCCCTATGTTTCAAAATCCATATATACTTCACTTCGTCCTATATTAGAAAATGAATGCGTTTGGAGCCCTTAAACTGGGATGCAAACTAGAGGTTACCGTCGTATACTAGTAGACTCATTATAATTAACTTACCCTCTTTGTCTAATCGTAGAACCATTCTAGGTATTACATTCATCTATAACCTAATCCGCGATGACGTGGAAAGTGCTGACTTGCTCGATGTTGGATATAACATTTATATATGTTATGTTGAGAAAAAATTACTATATTTAGTAAAAAGGAATGTACGGTCACACTGGTTGGCCTCACTTCCTCTTCCGTTTTCGATCTTAACGTGGCTGGTTGTGTGCACGAAAATAATCAAATATAAAATAATCAAATATAAAATTATCAAATATTAAACTACTCACACAACTTAAACATATAACTCTTATTGAATTGGTTCGGGCTATAAATAAAAAAACAAGCGATTAATTTCAACACTGGGTCAGCTTAATTTTCACGTACCAAGTAAAAACACTAGATGTTTTATCCCGTTAATTTTGCTCCACTGTAGAACATCCTTTGAACTGAATGAACCGTTTAGATTCCTTTGTGCAAATTACAATGATTTGTACTCCTAAACTAAAAACTTCAGTCGTAACCCACTTAGTATGCATGCAAGCAACCAATCCGGCAGCACCCCAGTAGTAGTTTTCCCCTCATCCTTTTCTATTTATTTCCTTCGCGCCTACTAATACCTAACATGAACAAGCAAGTGCTTGGTGTCGCAAGGTTCACTTGATATGTACTGTACATAGTGCATCAACGTCTTGCATAAAAAAAAAAAAAAAAAACACAACTGGATTATGTGGAAGAATATTTTAATCACAGCCTGCGGATCCCTAGCGGCCATCAAGGATATTGTTAAGGCCTACTAAGATCCAGCACCGGAATAAGAACCCGAAAGGATTCGAGAGAAAAGCCATGTGCTTTACAGCTGGAAACGTATATTTGTTATAACATATACACAAAACACACACAACACACCTACGATATACTACTTGTATATATACAAGGCCGGAGGCAGAAGCATGGGAGAGAAGAGGCTCCGCTTCCAAGGGAGAGATAATCTAACTACTTATTGTTAGATGTAAAACTGCGCGGCCACAATTTGTACATTTCTCTTGTCTGTTGCTTAAATAAAAGACCTGTGCTTTCGCAAGACGGACTTCGAACGGCTGAATAATTTGATAATTTATTATAATTGGTCCAATTTATACACATGCACTGACATGGCTGATGCCGTGGATATTTTTTTGCAGTACTATGAATTCATTTTTTTATTAATGGGTTGCGTTATACTATCCGTCAACAGCAAATAAGCCTCCTTGGTTTACCAAAGAGTTGACCCGCCTCAAAAATAAAAATCTAATCAATACGCACAATATAATCGCATGGGTTATCAAACTGTCCTATCTAGCTATTTATCGCCTCGGTGTTACAATAATCATTTGACTCGCTGCAGGGTCCAGTTTTCTAAAAACAGTAAAACAGTTCGCTTTTTTCAAACTACTTACTCAAACTTAATAGACTCAAATCAGACTTACTCTTACATCATCCCCAAATCGAACCAAATTTTAAGTCCTACCTTAAATGAAAGCTCTATTCTTTTAGATCTTAATCGTGTTAAGCCAGTTTTTTTGCCAGGTCCCGACGGAATACCTGGCTGTGTGCTTAGGTATTGTGCCCAAGGCCTATATAATCCCCTTCTGAAATTGTTTACCTTATCCTTAGAAACTTTCCACTTTTCCCTTATCATTCGTTATTCATCTCCACAAAAAAGGTAGCAAATTGGAGGCCAACAACTACAGAGGAATCTATAAGTTGTCGGCCATCCCAAAACTGTTCGAAAATGTCATTACTCCTCAATTGCAGCACCTGTATAGGTCAATTATTTCTCCATGTCAAGATGGTTTTATTAGGAGAATATCAATCTTTTTGAGCTCACTTCTGACAGATGTAATCTACACTGATTTCAGTAGAGCATTTGACGCTGTTAACCATTCTCTTCTTGTTTGGAAACTCGATTAAATGGGATTTCCGATTGATATTCTTAATTGGATCTCATATTATCTAAATGGCAGGACGCAAAAGGACCTTTTTAAAAATAAACTATCTAATGTTCTTAGGGTTACATCTGGCGTCCCGCAAGGGAGTCATTTGGGTCCCCTATTGTTTACATTATTTATCAACGATCTGCCCGAAGTTTTGACCAACTCCAGAGTACTTATGTCCGCTGATGACGTCAAGCTTTGTGTGCAATATAACGACGCTACTTGCCAATCAGACTTACAGACAGATCTTAACAATTTTCAAACATGGTGCTGCGTGAACTTATTAAACTTAAATGGCTCTAAGTGCAAGCTGATGACATTCTACCGTGTCATTCCTAAGCCTGCAACTTATACGCTAAACGGCTGCTCTTTTTTTTTTTCTTTTTTTTTTTTTGGGTTGAGGAGGGGGAATGCCTCATGCATCTTGGTTTCATTAAACGGTGGTCAAAGGAATTCAATGACCCATATGTTACAAAATCTTTATATACTTCACTTGTTCTTCCTATTTTAGAATATGGATCCTTCGTTTGGAGCGCTCAGTATGGCGTCCACAGAAAACGCATAGAATCGGATTGATATAAATTGGCATATATAATTAATCTACGCTTCAATACCTTTAAATTAAAAACTGCGGAATAATTGGTATGTTCCATTATTTTTAAAATTGAATATAACAGTTATAACTAAACATTTATATAAAAATTTAAAATAATAATTATTCTTCATTCTTTATTGAAATTTAAAAATAAGTGGTAAAAAATTGGTTATAATAGACCTAATTTTTGAAAACTCCATAAAATAATATGAAATAGGTAAAATTATTATATTTCCAGGTCAAATTTTTTGGTATTACCTTTTATTTTACTCATAACTCTTATTTGCGATAACTGGATTTGAGTGAAGCAGTTCTTTAAGCGGTCAAATAATGTAATGTATGGATTTTTAGCCCAATTTGAATGCGGGGATACTACGATCCCCACTGCAAGTTACTGGGAAAATTAGGTTTTTCATTGTCGCGTAAAGGTAGGAGGGAACACTGCGGTGAACTCTCAGTAATGTAAACTTGTGTGATGTTAAGTTATTGTATATTTTAAAATAAAACTCACACGTACACGTAACGCAACGGCCTTGGGCTCGATCGGCACAAGAACGAAACTTACATACACAGCACGAGTGCAAGAACGACAGAGGCAGCGGACCATCCGCTTATTAACACGTACATCATTCGTTCGTCTCGCTTTTAAATATGCACCAGATATTAACTAACATTCGCATTCAAATATTGCTATCGGTGGAATGGATAAAGTATGTCAATGTTGTCAGACATTGAAATTCCGGAGTGAAATACCCGACATGTGCTATGCATCAGGAAAAGTTGTGTTGTCACCTCTACCCACTCCGCCGGAACCTTATCCCATCTTGCTGGCAATTAAGCTAATTAACAATTATTTTTGCATAGGATACGCAAATTTAATTTTTGCTTCCAAATGACGTCATTTGGGGCAACTAAAATTGGCGATCTTGCATCCAATGGATGCAATTTTAAAACTACATTCAAAATACAAGGCCAGGTGTAACAAAAAATCGGGTCATTGATGCCAATGCCTAATAATAATCCAAAATTTCATCAAATTTATTTTATGGGGAACTGTAAAGAGCGAGTGACCACGCGGTACCGGAAAGAGCAATTGTGATATTACTGGTAAATGTTTTAGAAGATCAAAATCAACTAATTCGATTGATTATAAGTGTTTCGCAACGATTGCAAAATGACAACTATCAAATCGTCATAAAAGCCGACAAAGTACCATTGAACATGCTGGTAGATTCAACGCTCCAACTGTTGTTGTTAAGCTGTAAGCTATCCTATCTTTTAAGTGCACACGGTGTGCAAATTTAATTTAAAATCGGTTAAGTAGTTTAGGAGTTCATCGCGGAAAAACTTTATATATAAATTTATATATATTATATATTAAATATATATATTTATTTAAATCATTTTTAAGCTAAAAAAAAATTATTTTCAAAAAGCAAACACTCATTATGATTTTTTTAAATCTTTTGAACGAATTGTCGGATTGAGATGATTGAGGTTTCTATATCCGCTTTTGGAACTTATAATACAACGTTACAGCGGGTTCAATTGCTGCCGGATGCTTGCCTTTGAGGTGTCGGCTTAGATTGCTCAGCTAATTGCAGCTCAACGTGGTCTTGTTTTAATTCCAATTGGTCTACTGGTTTGCCAAATCCTCAAAATGGTTCAAACTTTTAATGAACTTCCTTTTGCACAGCAAGATCAGTTTTTTCATGATTTTGACACTCTTATAGAACTATGAGCAATGAAAAACAAGAAAGGAAGCTAACTTCGGCACGCCGAAGTTTGTATACCCTTGCAGATATTATTTCATTACATTTTACCTATATTATTATGTTTACAGTTTGACAGTTACAGTTTCGCATTCCCAGCTTTACATTTTCTCTACATCTACCGATCGGTTTATATGGCAGCTATATGATATAGTTGCCCGATTTTTATGAAATTTCTACCAAAATTCTAGAATAATAATAAAATAGAATAATAAAAAAAGCTTATATCTCTGTGTAGATGAAAAAACGTTGAAAAACAACGAAGTTTTAATTTTTTCTATTAATTTCCCGATCGTTCCGATGGCAGCTATATGATATAGTCGTCCGATTTTCATAAAATTTTTATCAAAATTCTAAAATAATAATAAATTGGACATATCTAAAAAATGGTGCAAAAATGTTGAAAAACAGCAAAGTTATAATTTTTTTTCTAGAAATATATCGAACATTTGTATGGCAGCTATATGATATAGTCGTCCGATCCGGCCCGTTCCGACATATATAGCAGTGAGAGTATATAGAAGAGTATATTCAAAGTTTCATTCAGATAGCTTTAAAACTGAGGGACTAGTTTGCGTAGAAACGGACAGACGGACAGACGGACATGGCTAGATCGACTCGGCTGTTGATGCTGATCAAGAATATATATACTTATAGGGTCGGAAACGTCTCCTTCACTGCGTTGCAAACTTCTGACTGATATTATAATACCCTGCAAGGGTATAAAAGATTGCGTCACTTGGCAACATCGATGTACGTTCAGTAATCCGTTATGTTGTTGACGGCCTAAGCATGAGGAGTGACTTTAGATACTCTCTCTAATGTTGCAAAACGTACAAAGAGCTACAGGAGCAGTATGAGGTGTACCAACGCGTGGGCGAGAAGCCGTTCAAGCCGAACAACGAAAAATGGACGCCAAACAATAGGATGCCGCGCGAGTTCAACCACAGGAAAAATCACTGCTTCAATTGTGGATCTGCAGATCATCTTCGCAAGGATTGCAAGGCTGCCGTGAAATGCTTCAGTTGCAACAAAAAGGGTCACATGTCAAGGGATTGCCCTGGGTAAGCTGCTGGCGTTCAAGTTGTGCGGAGTGCAAATCGCATGAAAAAGGTGACCACCAACGACGTGGAAGAAGAGTGTCTGGTAGATACGGGAGCCGACGTATCTATTTTGCGCAATTATATCTTCAAGAAAATACCGAATGTCGTTTTGGTGAGATGTGCGTCGAAGCTGCGTAGCTTTGGCTGAAGTTGCAGTAGATAAGGAGATAACGCCACACAAGTTTGTTGTTGTTGAGGATGAGGACATCGAGTATGACGCGCTGCTGGGATTCGATTTCATCTCGAAGTTCGAATTTTCGATGTTGGTCGACGGATACAGGTTTTCTTCCCCGCTGGGGGAGAAGGAATCAAACCAGATGAGTATTTATAATATAATAAATCAGTACCACTTCAACCTCCGGAGAGACAAGTCGTATTACAACAGCATCGATCCCGCGTTTGCAAAAAACCCATAGAGCTTATCAGCAAATTTGTGAAAAACAAATATTAAAACCAAAACAAAATAAAAAAAGACAACAACAAAAAAAACACCATTTCATACCAATCGGGCGCAAGCCCTTTACAAGCAACCATGCACGAGCCACCAGACATACCAAAGTTCACTACGAGATCGTATCAACTAGGAGAACCCAAATTTATTATTATTAAAAGCAAAAATGAAACCTCACTTAAAACACTTTCACCTTTCATCATCGAAAAATCCGTGGATTTTGCCTGCGGAGGAAGAGTTGATTCCGTGAAAAAACTTAGGGACGGCGGACTTTTGATAAAAACAAAAAACAACTTACAAGCCACAAAACTTCTAAAACTTACCAAAATCGGAGACATTGATATAACAGCAACCGAACACAAGACACTAAATTTTTCAAAAGGCGTTATCTACTGTAATGACCTTAGATATATAGACGAAGAAACAATTCTCCGAGAATTAAAACCGCAGAAGGTAATTGAAGTCCGAAAAATTATGAAGAGACAGAACACCAACAACAACAACAACCATAACAACACCAACAACAACAGCAACACCAACAATCACAGCAGCACCAACAACAACAACAACCCTCTAACAGAAACCGGACTTATAATAATTACATTTGAAACTCATCAACTCCCTGAATTACTGCGAATCGGCTACAAAACTGTCCGCGTACGCAACTACATCCCTCTCCCAATGCGTTGCAGAAAGTGCCTCCGTTTCGGACACCCGGCACCTATATGCAAGAGCACAGAGAAATGCTTAAATTGCTCAGAGGAAAAACACACCAACGAAGGAGAACTCTGCAAAAACGACAAAAAATGTCTTAACTGTGTCAACAATCCCGAACTTGACTCTCAGCACAGCCCTTTGGACCGCAAATGCCCCACATTCCTGAAACAACAAGAGCTTACTGCCATTAAGACCACCGAAAAAGTCGACCATAAAACTGCTCTGGGTATATACTTTGAGCGACACGGATACAAAACAAGAAACTCTTATGCAAATGTACTCACAAACACCACAACCACAATAAACACCCGATCTCCAAATACTCAGACATCAACAGCTTTAAATGCACAAACTACACCCACATCCTGCGATCACAACGAACCAAACAGAGCCACAACATCAACCGCACCAATCAAAAGAACACTGGCACCGAAAGAAACCCTGCTAACCCACAACCAACACGACCAAGACGACATCGAAGCTATGGAAACGGACAACCCCAACCCCACCAGAATAACGACACAATACGGATCACAACTCACACAGAACCTTAAACTAAAAATTTTCCCTAAAGATAAGTCAAACTCTCTCTCCACTAACTTTAAACCAGAAAAAAAAGCCTAAATCTTCCAACAAAAACAAACGCACCAATACCAGCGACAGCGAATCGGTTTAAAAGCCACAGATCTCCTATACTCTAAGGTTCAACCTCAGATCTCTTTCCACCCCCAAAATGTCACTAATTTTAATTCAATGGAACATTCAAGGATACACAAATAATTATAATAACCTCCTAATCCTGATTAAAAAATACTCCCCACATATCATTGCACTACAAGAAACACATGTAACGTCCTGTCGTCCACGGGTAGTCAGCGGGACGTCCAGGGTCTGTGCAGATATATTTATTTGGTTCAGGCGTGGTTGCTGTAAGAGATTTTCCCCGATCCGTTTGCCCCCCAGGGAGAACTCGAGAGGGAAATACAGTAAAGAGTAAGAGTACGGTTTATTGACGGAATGTTACAGAGAGGTAAATTGATCAGGAATTCGGCTGTGCTGGGGACCCACAGGATGGCTCGGCCGCCGGAAAAGATCGTGTCCGTGAACCCCGGGTGACGGTGGGCGTAGGCTTCTCGCGTCTGGGTGGGTCCTCTCGCGTCTGGATGCCGTCAGCTGCAGCTTGTGCCTGGGGAAGAGGGAGAAGAGAGAGGTTGGCTCTGTTCGGGGTGGCGGGTGGTTGTTGGCCGCGCAGGTCCGTATGCCGTCCGTCGCGTGGGTTCGCCAGTCGGCTCGGGGGTGGAAGTGGGGCTCGAAAATCTGCACGGAGAGGTTGTTGTCTTGGCCTCGGAAGTCTGCCAGGAGAAGTGTGGTTTGGGACTCGAAAGTCTGCCAGGAGAAGTGTGGTTTGGGACTCGAAAGTCTGCCCGGAGAAGTTGTTGTTTGGGACTCGAAAGTCTGCCTGGAGAAGTGTGGTTTGGGACTCGAAAGTCTGCCCGGAGAAGTGTGGTTTGGGACTCGAAAGTCTGCCGGAGAAGTGTGGTTTGGGACTCGAAAGTCTGCCAGGAGAAGTGTGGTTTGGGACTCGAAAGTCTGCCGGAGAAGTTGTTGTTTGGGACTCGAAAGTCTGCCCGGAGAAGTGTGGTTTGGGACTCGAAAGTCTGCCGGAGAAGTTGTTGTTTGGGACTCGAAAGTCTGCCCGGAGAAGTGTGGTTTGGGACTCGGAAGTCTGCCGGAGAAGTGCGGTTTGGGACTCGAAAGTCTGCCGGAGAAGTGCGGTTTGGGACTCGAAAGTCTGCCGGAGAAGTGCGGTTTGGGACTCGAAAGTCTGCCAGGAGAATTGGACCCTAAAGTCAGCAGAGAGGTTGACCCTAAAGTCGGCAGAGATTTGGACCCTAAAGTCAGCAGAGATTTGGACCCTAAAGTCAGCAGAGAGGTGGACCCTAAAGTCGGCAGAGATTTGGACCCTAAAGTCGGCAGAGATTTGGACCCTAAAGTCAGCAGAGATTTGGACCCTAAAGTCAGCAGAGAGGTGGACCCTAAAGTCGGCAGAGATTTGGACCCTAAAGTCAGCAGAGATTTGGACCCTAAAGTCAGCAGAGAGGTGGACCCTAAAGTCAGCAGAGATTTGGACCCTAAAGTCAGCAGAGAGGTGGACCCTAAAGTCGGCAGAGATTTGGACCCTAAAGTCAGCAGAGATTTGGACCCTAAAGTCAGCAGAGGTGGACCCTAAAGTCGGCAATGGTTTGGACCCTGAAGTCAGCGAGGAGGAGGGAGGGGGGTTAGCGGGGAGGACTACGACTAACTACTATGTATTGGGCGGAACCTGGATTTACCTGGTTCCCAAAAAGTGACTTGGCTGCTTGGGTGATTACGATCGCAATCAGCGGCTGAGTGACTGCTCCAGTGCCGTGGCCCGCTTTATATAGGGCTCGGCGAGGCCCTAGTGTGGCCCGCTCCCTGGTCGGTTTTTGCCTCCTATAGTGTGCCCGGCCGTCGTATAGCCAGTGTGGCCGTTCGCTGATCGTGCGCGCGCGCGTTTTTGATTTAAATTCGCGGGTGTCTTCCCTTTTCCTCCTTCCTCGCGTTTGTTCGATTGAAACACCTCATGTTCCCTTGTTTTTTGTGTTTATTGCAGCCACTTCATTTCTTTTGTTTTCTGTTCACATTTAACTTCATGTTTCTTTTGGTTTCTTTACTTCATTTTCTTTTGGTTTTCTTTTTCCTTTTTCTGCTCACATTTGTGTTCTTATTGCCTATTACTTCATGTTTCGTTTGGTTTCTTTACTTCATTTTTGCTTACATATTATATTCTTATTTATACTACTATTTTTATCTCTACTTTGTGCGCGCAGCGTCACACCCCCCCCCGTTTGGGAAGTGGCTACGAATTGTGACGTGGTTGCCTCTATTTGAGACAATCCGCCAGACGTTGCTTCCGTCCTGCTCCAACCATTTCTTCTGTTTTGCGATTCGCTTCGTTGCCAGCTTCTGTCGGATTTTTGCCATTGCCGCGTCTGATATACGGCTTCCGGCCGGCACGATCCATCCGTACTCATTTCTCTCCTCAGAGTGAATCTCCAGCACGTCCCGATCTGGTGACCTGGTCTGCCGTCTGGCCTCCGGCGCCGCCTCGTGTCTGTCGCTCGCTTGCCCTAGCTGACTCGGCCCTGCTGGTTCCTGCTCGTTGCGTTGTGGGCCCTCTGGTTGCCCTTCTGCTGCTGCGGGCTTTTGCAGGACTCGGACTTGAGTGGCGGGTGCCCTCGCCCCTCCGGTCACTTGTTGTTGTGTCTGCTGCTGCGCACCGCTGCATCCAGGTCCCTCTGCGTGTCTGTGCTCCTTCGGGGTGTGGGCGATCCTGCTTCTCCCCGGGCGGACGGGTGCCGTCGGCGGCCCAGCGAGCGGTTCGCCCCCACTCTCCAGCGCCTGCGCGTTCCTGCTGCCCATCCTGGTTGGTGCCGTCCGCTTTCTTACCGTCCCCGGTGGCACGCTCGGGTCGATGAGTTGCGTTCGCGGCGCTCCGCGTGCCGCCTTGTCGAAATTCTTCCGGAATTTCTCCGCGCTTGCTTGAAAGCGATGCATCGTCTCTGCTGGAAGGATACGAAAAGAACCCATGTTAGTTTTCGGCCAGCTGATTAGCTCGTCTTCTAGTGTTAGGCTACGTCCTATGTGGTTATAGTGTTGTATAACGTTAGGTTCGGGTCGCTGTGTTAGGTTGTGGTCTTTGCCTGTTATCGGTTCCTGACTCTGATTATCTGCCCTATCGCTCTCTTGCCTTCTCTCTGCCCCCTGTGCCGATC